CTCAGTTTGTCGACCTTTCAGCGTGAATATCGCTTAAAGAGTAAACAGAGCACAGCAAAAACTGGAAAGCGGTGGTCAACGAAATGTGATTGAAGACGGTTTTGAGGAACTTATTTTTTTGGCATGAAAGACGCCACTGATTCACTGTAACAGTGGTGCGTTTAGCGGAACTGATAACAGCTAAAATTGGGCCGAGCAGATCGGTTAAAAAATGAGTGGCGAGAAAGGAAAGCGCAAAGAGGCAAGCGTATTTTTGCCCAGGATCCGGACAGCTCGGCTGGAGGAGGTGCTGCTGAGAAGTGGCGGCCGAACGTCATCACGGAGTTGCTGCGCTTGAAACATGTGAATTGAGAATGTCCAGTGTATGTATGCTGTGTAGATTGATAAGCTTTTTGCAGTTTGGTACGGCGCATACCGGCTGTGCGGTTCTAAGGAAGTGCGCAGTATGGTTTCGCGGTGAGCGCTGTTTTGCTATTTCTTTTCTCATGGGTTCCAAATTTTGCTGTGGAATTTCTCTGTGCAGTGTTGCTTGTTCGGGAAAAATTTCGAAGGGGCACGATGCCAACAGATGAAAAATTAAATGATTCATTTTAGTATGCAACTGCACTGCTACTGAGGTACAGTACCCACTTCAAAGTTTGCTGAGATGTTCTACTATTTTGTAGAGTCATAGTTTCACCACAGCGCACCGTCTTACTTAATCCTTGCTTGGAGAAAAAAGACGAAATGAGTTTATCTGAAGTGCGCATATGTGGTGGTAATCGAAAACAGGAGCATTTCGATTTGGTTGTGTTGGCTGGCCGTCACCGAACGAATTGGCTAGATTGGTCCGGGCGGTCGTTGGTCGTGTGTGCTGATTGTATGCAGTCCTTTTCGTTTCTCTTCGCAGCAGTAGATGCGCCGGAGTTGTCACACACATATTTCCAGCGGAACGGAATTCTGAATAGGCTCGCATGCAGCTGCCAGAGTAATGCACAGATTTTAGTGCTTACTTACTTTTGACAGAGTTCCTGAACGAATGTTTTTTTTTTTGGTTTTTTTGAGGTAAAATATGAACTCTGTCAGGCGTGCAGTTCGAGTCCGTCAGAATTGCCTCGGACTGAATGCACTGTCAACTTTCCTTCACTGAACATCCAGCCCAACATCTCTCTCTTGAAATGTGCCAAAAGAAATTTCACCGTCTCAAACGGACTTCTTCCACCACTTCCGTTCTTTACTGTTATCTACTTTTTTAGTCCTTATTTGCCAGATTAGTTTCTTTATCAATCTGGAATAACAGTGCTTGGCGTCAAGCATTCTTAAATCCTTCCTTGGCCCTAAGCTTGCTGCATCTTCGACTTGACCCCAGTAAATTTGTTCCTTCTATTGTTGATCTCTTATGCGTTCTATCGTCCATCCATTATCGTTCGTCGTTTTTCGAAAACTTTATTCATATTGGTTCTATTCCTATGCATAAGCGTTGCACTGTATTGCATAAAAAATCAGTTATTGTTCGAGTAATGTTAGTTGTAAAAATAGCGTAGAATAATATTTTGTGCGTCGCCTGTCTGTATATCTTTCTCTTTAGCTTTGGAAGGACCTTTGCGGAAAATAGTTCTACGTCGGAGCTGTAAGAAATTTCACTGCTAAGCCATCTACGTTTCGCAGAACGATAAATATTCTCGAGTTCTCAAATTTTTCTAGTTTGGTGTAGCA